TACACACACACACACAGACACCATATTACTATATTGGGGCCTGAGAACGTGATTATTTGTTAGAGAATTGGTTAAATTACCTTGTGGAAAAGCATTAACCTAACAAAGAGAAAACCTCTAGGACATTTATCACATGTAGGGTGATTATGACAGCATGTTCTTATTAGAGATGAATATTTTGTGCTCATTAAGGTTACCCCCTTGAGTGTTCAAGGATGCAAAGTGTATTGCAGTGAAGTGCTATAGTCCTATTGTCTTGTGAGCACTTGCCGTTGGCTGGGGTGTTTCCTTCCAAGTTAAGGGGCCTCTAGTCCCAGCCCTGGCAGGGCCTGTATCAAAGCCACTGGGTAAATGGAACAGACTGGGAGGGTTTTAATTCAAACACTGCAGGGATCTATCTGCAAGAACTGAGAGTGCTATCGAGAAATCTCTGGTCTCCTAGTGTGGGATAGCAGCGGGGAAAGGCGGATGGACTGGTGAGGAGTTAGACGGGATCAGGCAGTTTAGGGTAAAGACCGTGGGGAGAGAAGATGGTAGATAAGGAGGAAATAAATCAGATGGCCAGGATGTGAGCTAGATAGGCGGAATGTGCCAGTCAACCACTGAGCTTCCCTCCCCCCGAACCCCAAAGCGGGAACCAAAAGTGGGGAGATGAGGGCAAAAGGAGATTGGCTGGTGTTTCTCTGAAAGAGCCAATAGAGGGCAAGAGCAGGACAACTTAAACCCCTTCAGCAGTGAGCTTCTGCGGTAACCCGCTTGGGTCTCCGCCCTGCTGCAGGGAGCTTTTCTGTGATAAAAACTCTGCTTACCTCTTGGTCCGTGAAACTCATTCTTCGATTTGGCGAGACCACAAACCTGGACTCGACTCGAATTTTGATATCACTAGGCCCCTGGGGAGTCTCCAGTGAGCCCCACTTGAAGGAAATTCAATTCATAAGATTCTAAACTAGAAACTATAGGCAAACTCAAACTGCCTACTTTATAAAGGGATTTTTCACTATAAAATAATTAGAAGTGACTTACCCCAAAGTAGCAAGTTTTTTCTGGCTGTTTCTGTTTTGTTTGCTTTTATAGAAATGACTATTACTATTATTAGCCTACTGGAAATTACACATGTGCAATTACAATGTAAAAGGTTGTATACAGCTATCAAAAAATATCCTCAGAAATATGAAATCCCACCCTAATCCCTCCCCCTACCTCATATTTTTTAATCTAAGACTGACAGAAAAGCACATTTAAAGTTTTTTTTAAAATATATTTTATTGATTTTTCACAGAGAGGAAGGGAGAGAGATAGAGTTAGAAACATCGATGAGAGAGAAACATCCATCAGCTGCCTCCTGCACATCCACCACCGGGGATGTGCCCGCAACCCAGGTACATGCCCTTGACCGGAATCGAACCCAGGACCTCTCAGTCCGCAGGCTGATGCTCTATCCACGAGCCAAACCGGTTTCGGCCACATTTAAAGTTTTGATTGGTTGGTTGGTTTATTGAGATTTTTAACGACCATGTAATAGAGAATTCTTAATAATCGAGAGTTGGCAGGATGTTTATTATGCATCATGTCCAAGAGCTCAGAGCCCATAAATACCTGGGCTAGTCAATCTATAGTTTGTTCAATACATATCTTGAAAAAAATAAGGACATGGATTTATTTATTTGATACTTAATTTTTAAAAATATGTTGTTATTGATTTTTTCTAGAAAGAGAGGAAGGGAGAGGGATAAAGAGATACACACGTCAATGAGAGAGAAACATCATCGATCAGCTGCCTCTTGTACGCCCTCCACAGAGGACCGAGCCCACAACCCCGGGCATGTGCCCAGACCAGGAATTGAACCAGCGGCCTCTTGGTTCCTGGGTTGATGCTTAACCACTGAGCTACACTGGCTGGGCAGGATACTTTAAATAAAAACACACAGACAAAAACCATAATCACAATACTATTGTTGCATCTAAAATCTTTTTCAAGTCTTTAATGGCAGTGACTATATATTGTCTGAAAGAATGAATGAATGATGAAGCCTTGGGGAAAGCCTTGTTAGTTGGGGTGATCACTGATGGTGTGTTCCCATAGAAAGTACATTAGTCTGGACTCAGCGGGACTTGAGGTCAAATAGAAAGTCTTCTACTTTTTGTTTCCATCAAAATGCCCTTGGTTTCTATAACAGCACCTGCCTCAGCACTCACAAGGCTATTGTCAGGATCAGCAATCCAACAGGGAGCTGTGGTTCAGTGCAAGGACTTGGCAGCCAAACAGAGATCAGCGTGCAAGGTCCCCACCATTTACTCTCCCTGAGCCTGTGAAGTCGTCTGGAAAATGATAATAATGATGCTTGCCTCTCAGGATTGTGCTAAGAATCCAAGTATGTTAAGTAAACCTTCAGTAAAAGGTTTGTATTGTTTTTATGCGAACTTGCTTTGCTAAATTAGAATACTACTCAAATTTATAATGAGAAGTAACGTTTCGTTTCCCATGTCCTTTATATTCTCAGTCTTTTTGAACTGTCTTCCTCTTCAAGGTGCTTTAGAAATTATTAAAAAGACGGAACTGTTGTTTCAGTGCTCCCCAAATGAAGCTCCTCACTGTCAGGAGGCCGGTCTGGTGTGAGCTGCTCTCCTCGGCCCTGGCACTAGCTGAGGAAAGGCCCTGGATCAAAGATGTCCTGGCAGCGAGAACATTCACACCCACTCTTAAGCCAGGAGGTAGGTGTTAATGTCTCTCGCTGGATTCCTAGAAGCAGAGATATTTAACACCTTCCTAGGATCCATGAACCAGGCACTCTCTCTTTAAACCTAATTTGGCAGGTAAAACGGAAAGAGAGCATTTCCAGTTGAGCAGTTGAGAAAGAACAGGAGGCTCTGGGCCACCAAGACAGAAGCCGGTTATTGCGGGATGAACGCTAAATGGAGAAAGGGTCTTCTTTAACTGCGTTGTCCGGAGAGGGACTTTAATAAGGACTTTCCCCAACAAACCTCACCCATATGGACCAATGGGGATGTGAGGAAAGTAGTGGTGCTAGGACAGTGTACAGATGTGTAAAGTTTAGGACGGATTAGAAATCCACATTTCTGGCTGCAGCTTGAAATAAGGTACTCTGACCAGTGTGCTTGCCTGAGAGATTCTGTTCCCAGGAGGAGTTCCTTTCCGGGGCCAGATGTAAGTAGGGGGACTCAGAGGAACCAGTTTCTCCGGAGAAAGAACACGGAGTCAAGTATCTCAACCAAGTTGTCCTTTGAAGTGGAACCCAACTAGCTTGGGGTCAGTTTGGAGGATGCTATGGATGGCTTAGCCACAAAGCTCACGGTGGAAGGTAGGCAACTCCAGGAATGAATAAAAACTCGATTTTTAAATTTTTTTGTCAGGGTTTGACGGGCAGCAGTGGTGGATTCTGACGTAGACTGAGCTCGAAATGTGCTTGCTTCCTCTCCAAAACTGAGGCCCATTTGCACAACAAGCAAAAAGGACAAGGTAAACAACTTCTATTTAGACTTTCCAAGGTCTGTTTCTTTGGATGACATTGCAAGAACCCTATGACACCACCCCACCCAGGAGTGAGCCCAAACACTAGGGATCCTTTCAACATCCAAAACAGGTCACCTCTTTGAAATGTGACAGCTCCCTAGAATGACTTTCTCATTTAAATTACATGGATATCCGATGAGCTCAGGCCAGAGGTGAAGCAGAGCAAACTCACACTCTTTGACTACAAAAGAAAATGCATATTTTTGATGAGCCTGCACCGGCTGCCTTCTCAGGCTTAGAATAATGTTTCATCCCCTTTTTGCCTACGAGGAATGTTGTAAGTAGGCATAAACAAATGCCTTCATTATTTATCCTAGTCGTGCTGCACTAAATCATTCTACATGGGAAATGTGTTATTTTGTTTGGCTGGCAATTGGTTAAGCTAATAGGCTCTGAGAGTCTTCCTTGGAGTTAGCGCTTGAATTATTCTAGTGCAAGTGAGCACTGGTTAGATTAAAAGCTGTTATAAAAACTAAAGCCATGAGATTGAGTAAAAACGCTTCCATCACCCTGACCTCTGGCACCTTGAAACCCAGGTGGTATTGTGAATGTAAAGACAATCACCTCTCCGCTGGGACCGTGGTCAAGTGTGCCACAGAGTCCTGAATGAATGTCCCTCTGGGAAATCAGACTAATGGGTAGGCTCCTTCCTAAGTTTTCTTCAGAGTGACCATCCTTAATGTAGAAGAAATGGTAAGCAATAGCAGGTTTTCCAAATGAAAACTCTGGTTTGGTGGATCATTAAATACTGTGTTTTGTGCCATGCTAAGCAAAGTCATTGAAAACTCTGTCTCCCCATCCCTTTCATAAAACTCCCAGAGACTAGGCTAGAGATCCAGTGAAGTGGACATCTTGTCGCCCATCCCCAAGCCAACAACGTTCCCGATTCTCCTCCTTCTGTCAATGGCATCACCATTTGTCCTAGCTATTCAGTTCTATGGACACCGATTCCTAAAGATTCATCCTTTATTGTTCCCAAATATGGCAGAGTCTTTCAACTTTCATCAACATCAATCTAGTACAGGCCCACAACCCCAAAAGACCACATGTATCCCAACTCATCTTTCTGACACCATGATGCTGGCAGCATAGTGCCTTCATATTTATTTACGTATGTAGACTGGGCACTATGCTAAATGTTGTACATGGGTCACTTTATTTAATTCCAAAAACCATGCTAGGAGGTCAGTCCTCTTTCTAAGCCAGTTTTCAAGTGCTTTACTCATGGTCATATGGTGAGAAGAGCTGGGATTTGAATCCAGGTGTTGTAAACATTGCATTTACGGCCAGATTCTTCACCCCTTCCAGTATCCTTGTACTTTTCCATGTGAATTTGCAGTTCTCTTATCAAGAAATGGAATCCAGCCCTAGCCAGTTTTCCTCAGTGGATAGAGCATTGGCCTGCGGACTGAAGGGCCCCAGGTTTCATTCTGGTCAAGGGCACAAGCCCTGGTTGCTAGCTCAATCCCCAGTTGGGGGCGTGCAGGAAGCAGTCGATCAATGATTCTCTCTCATCATTGATGTTTCTACCTCTCTCTCCCTTCCTCTCTGAAATCAATAAAAGTATGTTAAAAAAAATAAGTGGAATCCATTTCCCTACCCCTTGAGGCTGAGCTCAACCGTGGATTGCTGGGTTAATCAGTTTCCTTTATACCAGCAATGAACAAATAAAACTTGAAATTAAAAATACAATATTATTTACATTAGCAACCCTCCAAATGAAATACTTAGTATAAATCTAACAAAATATGTACAGGATCTATATGAGAAACACTAAAAAACTATGAAGAAAGATATCACCTCAATAATGTACAGCTATTCCATGTTCATGGATAGGAAGATTCAGTGTTGTCAAGATGTCAGTTTTTTACAACTTGACCTATAGATTCAACACAATCCAAATAAAAATTCTAGCAAGTAGTTTTGTGGATATTGACAAACTGTTTCTAAAGTTTATGTGGAGAAGCAAAAGACCCAGAATAGCCATCACAGTATTAAAGGAGGAGAATGAAGTTGGAGGACTGATACTACCCAACTTCAAGATTTATGATAAAAGTATAGAAAACAAGACAGAATAGTACTGGTGAAAAAGAAGACAAATAAATCAGTGGAACAAAATAGAAAGCCCAGAAATAGACCCAAACAACATATTAAACTTTGACAAAGAAATAAAGGCAAAACAATACAGAAAAGATAGCCTTCCAACAAATGGTGATAGAACAACTGTACATTTATTTCCATGCAAAAAACAAAACAAAAACACTAGAATCTAATTTTTACCCCTGTGATAAAAATTAACTGAAAATTGATCATAGACCTAAATTTAAAACTAAGAACTACAAAATGACTAGATGATAGGAGAAAATGTAGATTTTGGATTTGATGATGACTTTTCAGACACACCACCTAGACATATATACAAAATAAATAATTGATAAGCTGGATTTCATTGAAATAAAAAATAAGCAAAAAACTTTTGCTGTAAGAACGTCAACATCAGCCTGCCAGTGTGGCTATGAACCAGGAGGCCATGGTTTGATTCCTGATCAGGGCACATGCCCAGGTTTCAGGTTTGATCCCAAATGGGGTGTGTTCAGGAGGCAATCGATGATTCTCTCTCATTATTGATGTTTCTATCTCTCTCTTTCTCTCCCTACCTCTCTGAAATCAATAAAAATATATCTTTAAAAACACATACACAAAAGAAAGTCAACGTCAGAGAATGAGAGAAAAAACCTAATACTGGGAGAAAACATTTGGAATAGAAATATCTGATAGAGGAATGTTATATAAAATATATAAAAAACTAATAAAACTCAACAATAAAAGACAACCCAATTTAAAATAGACCTAAGACTTTAATAGACACCTCACCAAGGAAGATATACAGGTGGCAGATAAGTATATGAAAAGATGTTCATATCATTATCAATGGAGAAATGCAAATTAAAACAACAATAATATACCACTACACACCTATTAGAATGGCCAAACATTGAGAACACTCAATACTGGCAAGGATGTGGAGCATTAGGAGCTCTCATTCATTGATGGTGGGAATATAAAATAGTACAGCCAGTTTGGAAAATAATTTAGCAGTTTCTTATAAAACTAAGCCTACTCTTATCATACAATCTAACAAACACACTGGTTGGTATTTTGAAAACTATGTTCATGCAAAGCCTGCTCATGATGTTTATAGCAGTTTTATTTATAATTACCCAAACTTGAAAGCAACAAGATGTCCTTCAGTAGGCTAATGGATAAGTAAATTGGTATGTCCAGACAATGGACTATCATCAGTATTAAAAAGAAATGAGTAAAGCATAACCAATGGACATAAGACACTGGGGGGTAAGGGAGGCCAGGGGATTGTCAAGGCAGGGGGAGGTGAAGGAGACATACGTAATACTCTTTGTAATACTTTAAGCGATAAAAAAAAAGGAAAAAAAGAAAAGAAATGAGTAATCAAGCAATGAAAAGACAAAATAATCTTAGTCTGAAATATTATAGTAACCTGATATTACTAAATGAAAGAAGCCAATTTGAAAAAGTTTATGCTACATGACGGCTGCCGGCCAGGGCCTTCCTTAGTTGTGCGCTGCCCCCTGGTGGTCAGCATATGTCATAGTGAGTGATCGAATTTCCTGGTCTCCCAGTTGAACTCTTGAGGGGACACTGCATATTAGCCTTTTATATATACAGATAATTATGGTTATATATCATTATGCATTTGTCAAAACCCATGTAATATACAACACTGAGATTGAACTCTAATGTAAACTACGGAATGCTTGACAATAATGTGTCAATGTAGGTTCATCAGTTGAAATTATAATGTAGTATGTTCATCAATTGTGATAAATGTACCACTCTAGTGAGAGATGTTTATAGTGAGGGAGGCTGTGCAGTTGTGGGTAGAGGGAGTATATAGGGATCCTCAGTACTTCCTGCTAAAATTTGCTGTGAACTTAAAACAACTCTAAAGATAAAGTATATTTAAAAGGGGATAATAGCCCAGTGGGCATGGTTCAGTGGTTGAGTGTTGACCTATGAACCAGGAGGTCATGGTTTGATTTTCGGTCAGGGCACATGCCCAGGTTTCGGGCTCAATCCCCTGAGTGGGGTGTGCACGAGGCAACAGATCAATGATTCTCTCTCATCATTGATGTTTCTATCTCTCTCTCTCCCTCTCCCTTGCTCTCTGAAATAAATAAAAATATATTTAAAAATAAATAAATAAAAGGGCATAATAAATTAATTAACTATCTTAAAAAAACAACAACACAAGTGGCGGAGTAGCCCTTTACCCTTAAAACCTTGCTTTCCCAGTATTTTGCCACAAATTCTGCTCTACCCAAAGTGGCCAAGTCAGGATCCCCTAAATACTCCTGTCCTTTCCCATTGTCTTCCTAGCTCATAGAGTCTACTTCCTCCTCTCTTATGCACTGAGTCCTACATCTCCCCTGAGTCATCCTTTCTAAAGCTGACGTTTCTTGCCCCCGAATGCCCCTGCATCTATGCTAATCCTCTGGCTCTTATCATTGGCTAACCTGTGGTATTAGAAAGGGCATTTTGTTTTTATGTATGTATATCAGCTCTCTGATGTGCTAATTCTTTCAGAACACAGACCTTGCCTTATGATTTCTGGTACCTCCCTCAGTCTTGTATTTAATTCAAAGATTAAATTAAAATCTACATTAAAACATCAGAGTGATAAGTGGCCACAAAGCTTCCACACTGGGAGCTGCATCTCACAGTTCCTCAGTGTCACAGTGCCCCGGTAGAAATGACTCCAAAGCAGCCTGCCGAGTTACCTTCTGATCCCCAAGGTGCTGGACCCTTGGGAGGTATTATTCTGGCCTTGGTGAAGGCCCCAGGCTCTTCCGTGTTCTCTAAGGAGGTGACTTTGGTCTGGGAAACCTTACACAGCTTATTACCAGAGG